TATATATATATTAATACAAGCATTATTGCTCCACACTGAATTATTGGAAGTAATCGTCACTCATATCGACATAAGAAACAAAATATCATCCATGACATCTACTAAGGCTTTTATGGCCTATTTAATGCTCCATTCACTGAAGATGAAGGCAGAGTAAAATTAGCGAGTCTTCTTTTTTCTTCTCCACTTCTCCTCTTGTAATTTAATCATGTGTGTCTGTCAGTGCGGCTAAGTAGTCTTCTTCTGTCTGTAAGTATGCTCTGAAATAGTAAGGATTTTATATTGTTCTAATTGATTGTTTATATCAATATTATGTTATTTTGTTTCTGCTTCTTCTAACTACGCTTAGTGTAGAAAACGAACTAAAGTTGTGTTTTGCATCTCTGAAGGGATTATATAGGTTTGTGGTCTGTTATAGATCTAAAACATTTTGTTGAGCCCTAGTTTTCTCTAGAAAAACCACCGAGAAGAGTATAATATGAACCAGCAGTATTAAGGTCAAATCCCAGAATAGTAAGTAACGACAGGAAGCATGATAGACCCGAATATTTCATAACATACCAGAGACATAAGAGTGAGAAGAATTTGATAATAATGGAAATGAAATAAATAAACTAGAAATAGAACTAAGAAATCTAAAAAAATCAGTTAGAAATAATATTCGAGATATGGAAGAAATTGAGCTAAAATTAAATATTAAAATAAACAATCAAAGAAACAATGATATTAGAAACTTTAGAAGATCAAATAGAAAAAAATGAAAATATCTAATACAAAAGCTGAGATATCAAAGACACAAGAAATAGTATCAGAGCTCTCTAAATAGTAATACCCTTCAGTATTGGAGTCCGAATCCAACAGCCTCAAAAAGAAAAAATGACTATTATGAGTTTTTTAGCTGGCCTCAACTCTCAGCATAAAGGTGTCAAAACACAAATCTTATCTGACCTAGATGTATTACTCTGAGAGAACCATATTGGAGTATTGCATACAATTCTAAGCTCTCATACTTCATCCGTACAACAACCTAGTGCCCTTTCTAGTAAAAAACAGACATAAATAAACAACAGTTTAATGACAGATACAGAAGAGAAACTCTGAATTCTAGAAATCAAGAATAGAATGTAGTGTTGTGTTACTATCATGAACCTAATCATATGAAAAAATATGAGTCAAAAGTTGCTCAAAAAAATCCATAAGCTTTATAAATCACAGTCAACTTATATAATCACTACAAATGAGGCCTCCTCGGGTCACTCTCTTGATCTGTATAAATGAATATGCCAAGTTCATCAAATTTCAAAAAACATCCAGAAATATCTATCATAGCCCTTGTTGAGTCAGGTAACAATAATACTTATCTTTTTTCGTATTCCACATAATGGATCATTGATTTTGGTGCTATAGATTAATGAGAGGTAATCCGAAATGCTCATGCCTTTTGTCACTTTAGCAGATAGATCTACCTGTAATGTTCTTGATTCTTGCACAATCAATATTATAACCACATTTTCTCTACCTTATGTTCTCAGTTTACCTCAATTCACTTTTAATCTTATTTATGTTAGCAAAATTACAAATACTCTTTATTGTTGTATCTTACTCTTTATCAGCCATTGTCTATTTTAGGATTTCATGACGAAGAATATTACTAAGAAAAGAATGACAATCAGGGGCGATGCTCTTTGCGTTTCGCGGAATCATGAAAGGGGAGAGGGGAGACGGACTAAAACCATCCCATTTTTCTTTTTATGATTTCTTTCCTATTATCATTAATTCATATTTAGTCATTTCTAATACAAGTTTTGTATAAGGGTTTGGAAGTTAGTTTTTAGAGTGAGTTTGTTTAGGACTGCAACCGGTGTCTGCTTTTTGGCTTTGAGGGTTGTATTAGAGGTGTTATGTGGTGCTCCAATTGTATATCTTTCCAATGTGGTGATAATATTCTCTATCCCATTCCACAATCTCCCATGTCACTCCTGGTCACCCTTAATTGCTGCAGCCGCCCCTGAACAGCCTTCATTGCTACTTTCACTGCAATGTTTCCACTTTCAGTCACATGTCGTTGTTGTTGCGGCCCTGGAAAGCCATGCTCTTACTATCCTCCAATCCCCCACCACTGCCTCTGATATTCCCCTTCGCTACTGCCACTCTGTGTTGTTCAACTGCAGTTCCATCCGTCCAACCACCATTTTCTCCCATTGCAGCTTGTTGCCATTGTCACAATTCCTTAACTTTATTGTTGTCATCCTCCCTGCATCCTGCGGCTAAGGAGAAATTGATTCAAAGTGGAGAACAGAAGAAGCCCACCAGCATTAACAAATTTGTCCAAGCCAAAAAGTGCATCAAGACCCACGATTTTGGGCACAGTGCAGCGGTTTATATCAACCTAGACACATTTATTTATAGCTTGTTTGCAGGTTTTGATGTTGTTCTTGTTTACCTCCTAGGAGACATGGTCCCATGGAGCAAGATGAAGAATTACCTAACCAACATGACAATTCTCGCCCCTTTCTCAAAAAATGTGTACCATTTATTCAAAACTAGTTCGGACACATTACTACCATTGTGACAAATACTTCAGAAGAATATGGCAATCCATTTGTGTCTGCATAAGGCTGCTCCAGCACATAAGAAAGAAACGCCAAATGTCCAAGTAAATTCCGATGCGAGTAGCGCGTTATCATAATTTTAAAAGTAGCATGGATAAAATAATCTCTTAAAGAAAATTTTTAGATTCAGAATAATGAAGCCAATTAAAATGTAAATACAAAGAAAATACATGTCAGCAAAAAGGCTGCAACCAAAGGCATAATGCATTTAGAGAAATCATAAATTATAATGAATAAACATGGTTTTGTGATCAAATATTGATCCGATTCTTCAACAGGAACTTTAAAGAAGTTAAAACAGCAATGTTAACTCTCTTTTCACTTTTCATTACACCCATTAGCAGTCAAATGTAAGCAGATAATGCAGCTGCAATGACAAGTATTGACGTGATAGATTTCAAGCACCTCCAAAGAATTAATTCAAATAACTCAAATGCACCTGATTACATAGTTCCCTTTATTATCAAAGGGAGAGGGAAGCGGTATATGTCTATTCTTCGTCAGCAGCCAAAACTTGTCAGAAGACACTGGGACTTCGATTGGAGCCTGCAGAAAATCAAAGCAAATATCAGAAATAAAAGCAGATCATTGATGCATTATGAAATAATAGCAGCAAAAAGATAGGTAGATTCAACAAGTAGAAGGGATGAATTGCATGGGATACGATTATATACAAATATTTTACCCAACAATTTACAACCAGCTTAGCATTGAAGAGCACCTCAGCTGATAATGCTTGCTAACCTTCTGTTTGAAAAATAAATCTTTGCGTTTACGAAAATATTACTTATTTAGGGCATGCCTTGTTCTGAAAAATCCTTGCAATCAAACATGGCATGCAATTTTGTTGCACAATGTTAGAAGATAGGGTATTTAGCAATTTATTCTTCTTTATTTTTTTCCAATGGAACATTTCCAGCCCTACAGAGAGAAGACGAGCGGGGTCACCAAGTTTGGAGATCTTCTCACAACTTCGGGAGAAATAAGGACTCTGTTAGTACCAGCTCAAAAAGTGGAGACAGTAAGACTTTGGCTAGCTCTAGTGAAAATAAGAAGGCTCGTTCTATGGCTGATATACTCCAATCATCTGACCGATGCCATGGTTCTTCTCGTCATTTTTAAAATGGAAACAGAAGTAATTCATTAGAAAAAAACTTCTGAAATCGTTTAGAGGCTGCTGATGGAGCTTAAGATTGTAGAAATGGTATTTTTTTGTTAGGGTTGTATATGGGGGCATTGGATCAGTTCTTCTCCTTCTTGATCTAAAAACGAAAGATAGAAGATTCCACTTATAGAGTGCATGGAAGAGGATAAAAAAAAATGCAAAACTTTAGTTTCCCTTTTATCAATCACATGGTATGCATTTGCTATATATTACGATGGTATTGGAACGAAGATTACTTCTACTGAATCACTTTTATCAAGCTGGGGCCATCTTTTTATGAAAATCATATCTCATAAGATCCTTTATCCATCAGTCAGTAAAGGATGTGCAGATTTCGTGGAATCACAATAATAATTAATAAGTTTGGTAAAAAAGAGCTGCCAACCATAAAAGAGTAGTTAATGTTTGGTTAGGTTACAGGTTGACCCATTTTCATAGTTTTTTTTTTTTTTTTCTATTGTTGCGTCTTTTGGGCATCTCAAAGACTATGGGTGAATTTCATATAGTTTTCACTAATTTGGAGCCACTTTTTCCTCTTTTTTCAATATTTTTTTTTAATGATACAAAATTCCAAGTTGAAATTTTGCAAATTCAATTCTAAAATTCATCAGAATAATATACCGACTTCAAATTCTTGGAGCAATCTTTCTCTAAGTTCCCCATTCCCTTGAAAATGTCGCATTACAAAATGAAAAAGATTTTTTTAACCTTGTTTGTATTCCATGTTGACAATTATCTTTATGAATCTTTTGAACTAGGCCTTGGAGATTGCTTTAACCATATTATCCATTTTTAACTTAAAAACATTTTATTTTGTATTTAGACCAAATTTTGGTGGTACTTCTATATATACCTCCTCTCTTTGCGTCATCATAAGAAAAAGTCTATCTTGAAATTGAAATTTTACTATTTTGTCTATATTAACTAATTAATAATAAAAAATTCAAATAGTCCATTTTATCAATCAAAAGAAAAAACTATAAAGTGATAAATCAGATACATATGGGTTTAACATTTATCAACCAATACATATTTTATATCCTTCTAGTAAATTATCAAATTTGTACTTTATAGTAAATACCCACCTGCGTCGTATTGATTTTCTTTAGATAACTCTACAAAATTACTTCTTTTTTAAAAAAAAATCTTTCAATTCTTCTATCATAAAATTATTTCAATTCTCATTATTTACAATCCCGTTTGTAGGCTTTATAAGATTTTTAAATAATAAACACAATTGTAAAAAATAATTATGGGAACATTTTGCATCGTTGTTACCATATTTCTTTTTGGATGCATATTTACTAGTTCTGTTAGTGGCTTTAATGATAGGAATTGATTTGGTTGATTAAAATGCCTTCTTTAGTGAGCAAACTATAGAGGCTAAGAAGAAAATGATTCAGCTATAGGATAGGTGATACCATTTTGGGGCTCCTAGATGGTGTTAGAAAGCGAATTTAAATTAAAATCACTTGAGTCAGCCAGCAAAAAACCCAAAACAGCTGACCGGTTTGGCGCTAATTTAGAGGATAGTAAAGAAGAAGATTAATTTAATGGTATTTTAGAGGATAGTAAAGAAGGTATTAAATCATCCATTTCAAATTCAAACAGCAACCTAATTCGTTCCTATTCTGGGAAGCGGGTAAAGTTAGAAGGCATAGTTAAGCTTGGCAACATCAGTATTTTGGCCACTACTGTCATTCCTAATCAGGTGCATAACGGTAGTATTTTGAATCTGTAGTACGTTTATGTGGTAGGGTCTAAATGGAAAGAATGTGGACTCGAATTCTGGGATTGTTACAGGATACAAAAATCTAATTTTCATTAAAGATAGGGGATGATAAAATTTCTAAAAAAATTGAATCATGGCCAGCAGTGAAGAAGTTATCTTAAAGTTATCACACCTTTAACTCGGGCAAAAAACTATGGACAATATCAAACTGTCAACTCTTAAACCCAAGAGGTCAAAGTGGTATTTCAAGATGAAGGGCCTTATAATGTTCATGAAAACAAAAACACAGTTGCCATGGAAAGATTCTACAGGGGATAGGGAATGATTGAAATGGGTAAAAAATTAATTAAAATGCAAATGATGAAAGTTTGAGGCAAGCGCATCAAAATTTGAAGTTATGATGTTTAATTATCTGTTCAGAAATTTTGTTTTCTAGTTCGTTTTTTTATTTTTTTTTTATTTTTTTTTTTTATGTAATATTCCTGAGATGATAAGTAAACAAGAACGGTTAGTGTTTTCTAGCAATTTGATTATCTAATTGGGAATAGGTTGCCTTTGCAAGTGTTTTTCAACCCATTCATCCCTTATTCCCAAACTTCGAATTTCAATTTTTGTCCAACAAAGCATTCAGCATCAGGTTGATGCTGCAATTGAGGGGTCGTGGAGTTTTTTTCCATATAACCACTCCGCACTATACACACTATTGCAAAGATATGGGTTATATGCAATTCCCTGCTTATTGAAAGCTAAACAATGTTCGGTCCTCTGTTCTGGAATAACTGATCATTTCTTCCTTTCATTCATGTGCCAATTACTGCTGCCATATGCTCCCATTATTTTTCCTACTTAGTCCTATACCCTTCAGGCTTTTCAGTGTAGCAGGAGACAAAGGTTGACTTTTTGAGCTGACTAAATAGGGGCTTCTCATTTTTAGCTAAGATATCTGTGGTTGTAGGTAAGATGTTAAGGATTATGTCAAGCTACTATTACACATAGGACCCCTTATGCAAGTATTTTAAAATGAATGACTATATAAAATCTTTATTTATGGGATAAATGTACTAATAAGATGAAAACAAAGATATTTTTTTTAAAAGGGGGGAACAAGTTCACAATTCACAAGTCCATTCCATAAGTAAAGAATCTAGAGGCAAAATAAAACGAAAAGAGAGAAATGATCATCTACTAAAGCTATGGGGCCCTCTACTCCATTCCCATATAACAGCACCCAACAATCAAGAAATTATAAAGTAGAAGAAAGAAAAGAAAAAGGAAGCATAGAGAAACCATCTTGCAACCTAAGAAGTAACAGGAAGCAGACCTAAAATCAAAGACAACATTAATGACCCACCAAGGATAAGGAAGGATTCACACCTCGAACCACTTGCAAGGGCAAATTAATTCTAATAAGGGAAGTCATGATTTATAAGGCACCAAGTGCAGGAAGCATTAAAAATATCATGCACAACAAGCTCTTGAGTATCAAGGTTTTCAACTTCATGTCAAATTTGTCAATTCAATATGTTATACCATGAATCAAAATCTCAAGGGTTGAAAAGTGTGAGAAAAATTGCTCTAGCAAATAATCCAGCATTCAATCAAACTGAAGGTTGAATAGATAAACCTTCAAATAGCTCGTTTTTTAAGAATCGCATAGTTATTAAAATGACTCAAAATAAACCAAATTTTAAGTTCAAATGTTAATAAAAGGACAAATTGAATTAGTTATCCATTACATTTATGATATATTTTTTCCTTAATATAAACCAAATTGATTAGTCATCTCATTTAATATAAATCTTATTGTATTAGCCAATGAATTCCAAAAAACATATTTTATACTTTGCATGTTCAATCAGAAATTAAAAACGTAGATGGAATTAAAATAAAAAATTATTTTGTATATTTTATCGTATTTTAGCATTATTTTCATGTTCAGTAACTACCAAACACGATACTTGTATGTATGTATCATTTAAGAAATTTCGATAGATTTTTAGATTTATTAAAACAACATAATTCAAACCTTGGTTGAATGGACCTTTCTTTTGGGTTTTACTTCTTGTTCAGTTATCAAAACTGTAGGCCAACATAAGAAAGCACAAGAAGACGAAACTCCAAGACCCTCTAAGCTACATAAAAGGTTTGACACAAAAAATGATAAAAATATGATAAAAACCAAGGAAAATAGGATAAAGTGGTTATTGAATGTATAAAGAAGGGTCGATTATGGTTTTGTGTCCAATGAGGAAACTTGAATTAATGGTGGAGACCTTAAATCAAATGAGAACTAAAATTTGCCTTCAATATTTCCATATAATTGGCACAAATCCCTCTTAAGCCGCACACAAATAAGTAAACTCATCATGTCATAAATTTTCTTTTTAATAAAAATTAAACCACTTTTGCAATAAGATAAAACCCATTGAACCGATTACGAGTTAAATATAGCATCTAAGATAAGAAACACAAAAAAGGATATACAACCCCTTCATGTCTCCAATTTGGTAGAAGTTCATCCAACGCACGAGGCTCAAAAACATTTCCGGAAATTATATGCGCACCTGCAGATATTTTTCTTTTTCATGAGAAGAAATGAAGCAAAGATAGACCAAGGTGGCATGAAAATAAGCTAAGGAATTGCTAAAGCAGAAAGCAATTCAAAAGAGTATAAAGAAACTCAATTATATCCTAGTTTAAACATACGATCATTTATATTTATCTTGAAGAAGCATGTATAGACAAACAAATGGAGAGAAAAAGAGAGAGAGGAACTAGTTCCATGTTCAATTTGAAGAATATGCTTTATTCAGCACTTATTTCAGCAAATTGTTTCTACAAGTTGCATAACTCCATCAGTGTATATGTACTTTCCATGTGTGTGTGTGCATGTGTGTGTGTGTGTAGCATAAGAGACATATACTCGCATACACATACATAAATACAACCTAAATATCTATACAAGCCAAGCTCAATATCCAATTTTTTTTTTTTTTTTTTTTTTTTTTTTTTTTTAACTAAATTTAAAATATTGGCTTGAGTAAACATGTCCCAACTTAAAACAACTTAATCTACAGTTTTCCATGATCTATCCAACTTCAAAATTTAATGAGTTTCGTGTTAGACTATTAGATGAAAAGATTTTTGGAGAAGGAAAAAACAATTATGCTTCTAAAGAAAATAACATAAGTTTGGACATTAACAAAATCAATTCATCAATCAACAAAATTCTAAATCAACAAAATATATAAAAATAAGCTTCTAAAGAAAACAACAAAAGTTTGTACATTAATAAAATCAATTCATAAATAAACAAAACTCTAAATCAACAACATACATAAAAAAATAATGATATTTATTAAATAGTGAGTACAGCAATGCCATTAGGGGTAAGGGGACACTAGAATCCCGCTAATGTTAGCCGCTTGCTGCAGTTTGCAAACTTTGGAAATATTGAACTTATAAGACATTTGTAATAGTCTCAGTATAAAATAAATACATTCAGCCACACAAACATATATGTATAAAATCTTTGAAAGGTATAAATATATATGCATCTCGCAAAAAAATATATATTAGTCTTGAACAAACAGGATTGATCACCCCTATAGTATATATATCAGGCTTCAAACCAGCTTTTAGAGTTCAATCAACATTTCTAGAACAAATTCATTGTGCTCATTCTCCATACAACCAGCAATTATTCCATTCCAAGTAAATATGCTGGGTTCAACTCCTTCGTCCCGCATCACACGAAGCAACTCTCAAGCATGGTTAAGTCAATTAAGACGAGCATAAGCAGACATCAATAAATTCCACATTGTCATGTCTATTTCAACCATGCTATGGAAAATCTACTCGGTTGAATCAAAATCAAAGCAGCTGCAATACATTTCAATCAAAGCATCATAGAAAAAAAAATGAATTCAAACCTTTTGATATTGCATAAGAATTAATCTATCTTCCTTCACTGATTGCAATTCTTACAGTAAGTAAGAGACACTTAAAGGGTTGTTTGGTTTGTTGAAAAAGAAATGTAATGTAACAGGTTTATAGAGTATTAGGATTACAATATATTTGAAATACTTTAGAGTTCATTTTAAAATAAATGTAGGACTTTGTATTCTTTTATTTGGTGTAGATTGAAAATTTTGTATTTCAAAATATTTTTTTTTTGTCTGGTGGCAGGAGACCAACAGGCCACTGGCATAGGAGGTTGGTGGTCGGCAGGCAGACGACCAGCAGCGACGGAGGCGAACGGCGAAGGGCGGGGGGAATTACAAGCGGTGAACGATTGCAAACTGCAGCAAGCGGCTAACATTAGCCGGCAGTGGTAGCAGCAACGAGCAATGAGCAACGAGCAACCGAGGTAAAAGCAAACGGTGGGGGAAACTCCGGTGGGGGGAAGGGGGTACATTTGGCGGCTTATGGATAATATTTTATATTTTAATAGACGTTGTAATTCAAATTCGGCCAAATTGAATGAGTTTTAAATTAAGCCAAAATGAACAACAATGTAAACTTTGAATTTATTCATACTCTACATTGTATTTGAAATTATTCATACCAAACAAATAATTTTTTCAAATTTCTGAAAAAGAATTACAATATACCACAAATTCACTCAATCAAACGGCCCCTAAATGTGAAGACAAAGAAATTAAATATGGGTTTTGTTATAATGAGATGAAAGTAAAAAAAAATTGTAAATTGAATGTTCTATAACATGTGGTACCTTATACATTATCCAAATCAAAGATACCACTATATTAAACCTCAAAATTCTAATAAAATGAATGCATTAACTTGAATTGAGCGGTATATATGTAAACCTTACTTTAAAAATTTTTACATAAAATGAAGGAGGCCATATCAAGCAGATTCCAGGAGAATTTACAAAATGTTAAATACTATCCCAAAATGTTGACTTAACATTGCTTATTTATTAAACTTAAATGAATCCACTAAAACAGTGTTGCTATCGAGCCACAACTATCACCAAAGTTGAAACATGTATCCTTTACAATCCAACCACTCCACAAGGAATTGATGCCCTTTACAATTTCGGACAACCTTATTACCCACCTGTAAATAAAGCAGCTATAAACCAACAAATTGTGCTAATTTTTAACAATTCACAAACAAAATTCAAGTTACAATGTGCAGCTATGGCTGAATTAAAGAGAGTTAGCGTGTTTTTTGTATTGTGTCGTGGAACCAGAATCTTCTCTTCACTTCGTGTTTGGTCCCAGCACTGTGACCCAATATCTCCTGCTCTGTCATAGAGTAACTGTTAATAGTGTACCCCATGCTATATGGCATGCTAATGTCCTCAATAAAGGTAATTCCATTTGACGCTATGAATTCGTCTTCGTGGATGTATTGTTCTTAAGCACCAACCATTTCAATACTACTATTCTTTGTAACTTGTTGGTCAACAGTTGATTGTGTTTGTATACCAACAGCAATATTCTCAGCACAAATCTTCTCGAAGATATCATATTGATCAAAGAAGCTTCTTCTAAAACTATCCATAAGTGTTGCAAGATCGGAGTCGGAAAAATGATCGAATGGGTCACACATCATAAATCGACAGAAAAAAAAGTGGAAATAATACCTGATTCGCGAACGAAGAACGCAACACCTCTCGTAAACCTCTTTGTTGAAAGAGAAGGCAAAACTTTGATCGGATTATATAGTCGAATCACAGGGTAGACGGATTTAAAGAGGGACAAGCAAAAGCTGTTTCAATAACGCTATCTTCTCTTCCCCAACCACTCCCTTCTCAATTGCTTTGTAGTCCATGGTTGACGTCAATGTGATTCGGCTATATAATCTGACTAAAGTTCTGCATTCTCTTCCACTGTTCTCATCAAAGAGATTTACAAGCTCTCCATTCAAGAATCAGATATTCCTTCGAATTTTTTTCTATTGATTCATCATGTGTGACCTCCTTGGAACAGTTGTTATTGGACATCATAAATTGACAAAAAAAACGCAAAAATAATACCTGATTCGCGAACGAAGAACGCAACACCTCTCGTAAACCACTTTGTTGAAGGAGAGGCAAAACTTTGATAGGATTATATATCCAAATAATAGGGTAGACGGCGAATGGGTGACCCGTTCGATCATTTTTCCAACTCTAATCTTTCAGCACTTATGTTGTGAGTGCAGTCTTTTAATTATAGATATGAAGAAATTTATGCCAAATGATTTAATAAGTTGTGGAAGCGGTAGCTCACAATGCAATTAAGACAAAGATTTGCTAGTACTGAGTGGAGATTCTAAGAATTCGTCAAGGATACCCAAGTAGTTGGAACTACATAACGACATTCTTGTGGAGTTGTTGATGGTCTTTATAGAAATATATTATCTGACGTGTTGAAAAAAAGCTTATGGGATGATATCGTCAAAACACTAAATAGACAATCATCATATTTCATTCAGGTTGCCATGATAAGATTTAAAAATATAAAGGCCGACTTCAAAATTGTGTTTCGATTATCCAACAAAAGTGGAACGAAATCATACAAGTTCAACATCACTCTTGCTTTGTCAATCCAGTTTAATAGATAAACATTCATGATCTAAAAAATATATAATTAAGTTTCAAAAAATTCAAAAATGGGTAGTTTTAGAAAAAATTTCATTCATCAAGACGATATCTTTGAGAAGATTTGTGTTGAGAATATTGTTATTGGTACACAAGCAAAATCAACTGTAGATCGACAAGTCAAGATGAATAATAGTGTTGAAAAGGTTGGTTCTCTAGAACAATACATCTACAAAAACGAATTCATGGTATCAAACGGAGTTACATTTATTGAGGACATTAGCTGCCACATACTCTAACGTACACAATCAGTGATGACTCTATAGCGGAACAGATGATATTGGAGTATAGTGTTGGGACCAAATGATGGAGTGAATGGCAAATTATGTTCCCTGAAGAAATAAAAACTGTGGTGACACGGAGGCACTTAATAAACTAATTACAGTGCAGGAGGAGAATGTTATGGCATTGAAGGAATTGCTTGACAGAAACACTTCTATCTCAATGAACAATTGTCTCGCAAAGTTAGGAAATATCGATGACAACTCAGAGAAAGCTACAACGAGTACCAAAATAATAAATATCTACTCCTAACATTCAAAGGAAATAAGCTTCATTGTTGGATTGAGCTCATACTTGAAAAACACCACATTTATTATTCATTTTTTGGTTGCTTTTAAAGTCAACATTATGTCACTTTTTTTTAACATCTTGGTTGTTCACTGCTACAACCCTTATACTTTATTAGTTGTTTTGTTGTACGTTTAGTTCATTAATATTTATATTTCAACTTGTTTCTTATTTTTGCTTAAATGTTTCCATCTTATGTAGTGTCAATTTTTATTTTGTAGTATTCATGCAACTTTTGTTACAACAAGTCAACAGATTATTACAATAAATAGATTTGTGCATAATTTATTAATGATGAATTGTTTTTATTTCGCATAAATGTCTACTTATTCTCGCGATAGATTAACCAGCATATGTTCAATTTTATAAATAATTACATTGATATAAGTAATACAATTATGAGCTACTACCAGCAGTTATGGACAATAACTCTTCTAATGATGAGGAATTTATTCGAAGATCCTGTTTGATAGGATATACATAGGGCACCAATATATCATGGATGTTCTTGTTGAACATCATGTTCGTTGTTACAATTGTTTCAGGTTGCCACCAGAAGCTTTTACTCGGTTACTTGACATGATGATAACCTGTAAGCGATACACAAAATATGACGGTTGCAAAACACGTACAATTTTTTTAAATTAGTACATGCTCATTCTTATAGACTTGAGTTCTTCAAGCATTCATTGGAAACCATTGATAGACACTTCAATATTGTCTTATAAGCTATTGTCCCGTTGACTGAAGAGTATATCGTTTGCCAACCAATGAATCTGAATGTCACTCATATATCCATTCTAACCCACAGTTTTATCTTTTCTTCTCAAATGCAATTGGAGAAATAGATGGCACACACATGCCTGTTGTTAAACAGAACTCAAAGAACAGATACCGGAACAGGAAAGGATTTACATCACAAAATGTGATGCTAGTTGTCTCGTTCGATCGTCAATTTATGTATATTACTTCTTGTTGGGAAGGATTAATAGCTGATATGAGAAGGATCTTTCCGTACCGCAACGTCGATATTATCTTGTTGACTCGGGTTACAGTAACACCTCCAAATTTTTAGTACAATATCGTGTTTACATGTATCATCTCCATAAATAAACTGGGGCCGCAATTACTCAGGAGCCAAAAAGTTGTATAATCATCAAGTCAAAATACAAAATATAGTGGAAAAAATATTTAGAATCTGGAAGGAGAGATTCAAAGATTTAACACATGCGGTAATTTTTGTTCGACGTGTAGTGTCATCTTACATAACTTTATTGGTAGGCATCACAAACAGAATATATACTTCAACATGTCACAAACAGAAATGCATCATGACAGAAACCTGGGTGAGGTGGTAAGCACTGGTGAAAACCCTAATGTGCATGCGACTATCGGGAAGAAAGCTAAAGGTTATATAATGTGACATCTAAATGTAACTAATATGTGAGAAGCACGAGCAAGAAATTTTATTTAACCGCTTTTTTTAAATTTGTGAAAGGATTATGTTAAAGTATTTTAAAAAATGTTGCGAGAATCCGATCAAAGACGGCGCAGAACTTGATCATTTGGATGACATGGCAAAACTTCATGGGAAAGCTTGTACCGATTTTAACATTTCTTATTTTGATAAATCATTTTTTACAAATTTTGAACTTAATTTAAAGAATAGAGTAACGGAGTTTATTGAAAGTTTATATTTTACTTATTTGGACATTCCGTATAATTTCTTTTGTGATTATGTTGTGTTATTGCATGGTGGCAGATTATTGAAGCTTGAATTACATGAATTTATTTTGTGCTATCAAGTTCCTTATTTTATATAGGACAACTTTTAGAACAGTTTAGTATAGCCTAGTTCCTTCAAAATGATAATTTTGAGCAAAATACCAGTTCCATTTAGGAATAAAGATCTCAAGTTGGGGGAGTACCCATTTGAGAAAATAAATATAGCCCCAACACATGTTATTCTGTGAATGAGTGATGATCCGTTCATGTAGGAAGAATTATCAAATCTCACAAATTTGTACAAAACTATATTATCTGCCCCTCATCTCATTATTCGCACTTAAGCACGAAAGGTAGTAGTAGAAAAGATACTTTCCTAGTTGAAAGAAGTTGTTAAAAGCATTGCACTTAAACTCTTCATTTAACAAAACATGTAATTGAGCATATAGTGGTTTGCTAATGTTCTTGTGGCGGGTTGAGTGATACTTCTTGACTCTAAGCTTGATTCTTCTTTTATATTGTATTATGGTGTCGTGACATATTATTGAATCTGAAATGCATTTATGCAAGTCTTATGTTGCAATAGAAAGAAGGTGATAACACTATCCATGGTGCTTTTCGGATATCTACTTCTATGATGCAATGGTGGATGCGGTATGGACGATCGATGCTTTTGAATGGTAACTACTACATCTGGTGTCATTGCCGAAATTGTAATTTTTCTCAATTTTGTTTTACTTTTATAATATGGGTTTAAGTTTGCAAATTATAGTTACTGTGGAATGCTAATAGATAAAAGAGTGTGGTATTTATGTAATTAGCAACGCTTTGTCCCATAAAATGAGTCATGCTTTCATACTTACATAGCAATCAAATCTTTAACACTGACCTCTTTAATTCAGCCACAGTTGCACATTTTAGCATGATTTTTATTTGTGAATTGTTAAAAATCAGCACAATTCGTTGGTTCATAGTTGGTTATTTACAAGTGGATAATATGGTTGTCCGAAATTGTAAAGGGCATCAATTCCTGGTGGAGTGGTTGATTTGTGAAGGTTACGAGTTTCAAATTTGGCGATGGTTGTGGCTCGATAGCAACATTGTTTCAGTGGATCCATTCAAGTAATAAATTAACAATGTTAAGTCAACACTATGGGATAATATTTAACATTTTGTAAATTCTCCTGGGATCTACTTGATATGTCTTCTTTTTTTGTAAAAATTTTTAAAGGTTTACATACATACTGCTCAATTCAGGTTAACGCATTCAATTTATTAGAATTTTGAGGCTCAGATCACTTTTTAGGAGTTAATATATTGGTATATTTGATTTTGGTGATGTATAAGAGACACACATGTTATATCCCATTCAATTTACAATTTTATTTAACTTTCATCTGATTACAAGACATAAACCTAGATTTACTTTTTTTGCCTAAAGATTTAAGTGTTTCTTAATTACAAGAAGAGCTGCAATTAATGAAGGAAGATAGATTCATTCTTATGCAATATCAAAATGTTTGAATTGAAGTCATTTTTGTCTGCAATGCTTTGAATGAAAACTATTGAGGCGGTTTTGATTTTGATTCAGGTAAGAAGATTTTCTATAGCATGGTTGGAAAAAGACACAATAACAAAATTTATTGTTATGCTCGTTTTAATCTAGTTATGCTCATCTTAATCGACTTAACCACACTTGAGAGTTGCTTCGTGAGATATGGGACGAAATATTTGAGCCCAGCATATTTAGTTGGAATGGAATAATTGATGGTTGTATGGAGAATGGGCGCACAATTAACTTGTTCTAGAAATGTAGACTGAACTCCAAAAAGCTGGCTTGAAGCCAGATATATATACTATAGAAGTGATCACTCCTGTTTGTTCAAGATTAATATATATTTTCTGGTAAGATGCATATATATTTATATCTTTCAAAAGACTTCATATCTATAGGTTGAATGTATTTATATTATATTGAAACTATTGCAGATATCTTATGTACAATATTTTCGAAGTTTAAATTTTCTTCCACATTCTTTTTATTACATAGTCATGATCCCATGCTCCAAATCATCCATAGTTTCAATTAAATTGGAGCATATATTTATTTTAAAGAGTAAACAGTCATAACTGATCTTTAAATCCAAGCAGAAATCGTCAAACAGTTTTACTGAATTTAACAGGATTTAGTAAATCTATTGCCAAACAGTTTTTGGGATTTATCCCTCTCGAGATTTACTAAATCTGGATTTACAGGATTTACTAAATTATAGTAATATAAATCCCAGCTATTGCCAGACAGCACCTTGTAAATAAAGGATTTAGAGGTGAAATCCTTGAAATCCGGATTTACCGCAGCGAGGGATTTATTTTGTCCAGAAAGACCATCTGGCAAGATTTGGCTTAAATCCCATGTTAACCCTGGCCTGAAGCTGTGGCCAGGCAGCTCCTAAGTAATGCAACGCAACTTAATAAGTACATTTGGCTGAAGGCAAACTAAGAAGTAGATAATTTTATAGTCTATAACCTCTATAGTCTAAACGAAAAAGAAGCAACAGCCTTCGATGTCCTCAATTCGGATAATCCAATGAGACTCGTTTAAGACAAACAAGTCAATCTAGAACTATAAAATACTCCTCAGTTCAAATCAGCGAAACATTGAACCGAGAAAATGGCAAATGCATAAATACTTTAAAAATAAAGGATAATAGAACTCGCCGACTTCTGAGCCTTTCTCCAGGACACAAACCGATATGTCTTTATTCCTTTCCGAGCACAGCTGCTTCAATCGTATGGCCGCCGATAGCCCAGCTGGCCCAGCTCCGACGATGACAACATCGTAATGCAAAGACTCCCGGCCGCCCGAACCGCTGCAGAAAGTCCTCCGTCCGCCGATAGTGCAACCGTCAATCGAATTCAGTAAATTCGTGCAATTGTAAAAGAATTCAGGTAATGGGAACGAGAGGGCGGAAAGATGAGAAGGGGTGCTTGGTAGATTGGGGAGGATTGGAGAGGGTTTGGAGATGGATTTTATCAGGGTATTCGATCTAGAAAGAAATCGATACATGACAGCCGCTGGAATCTAGCACTGCCAACTAGAGAGAAATAGAGGGGATTGAGGAAGAAGAGGAAGAGAAATGGAATGCAGAAGAATAGACTCGTGCGGACAAGAAAAACGGCGCTGGCACGCGCCCCGCTGGTCTCAGGCAAACGACACTGCCGCGAAAGGTTTTTATTTTTTATTGACTCATAATTTATATTATCATCGTTAAGATAATAAAACAAACAATTATCTACATCGCTTAAAGGTATTTCCTAGAAAAAATTCCAGCATATATTGATTTGAAAGAACCGTTAGATGGGTGCCAGCTCAGCCACGTTACTGTGTGTGCAAAATGGCATAATTCAAAAAAAAAAATTTTGGGCGGATTTTAAATTGACCATCCACGAATGTGAGCGTTGGTTTGAGCTGCATTTCATGAAATTCAGCCGTGAAGGTCAGCGGAGAGCTCAAATGTGTACCTCAAGAATTTCAATTATGTCCTCAATATTACCCCTCCACTCTTCTTCCTCCCTTTTGACTTAACCACGTCGTATTTGGTGATAGGGCACATTTGCTGTCCTCTTCATTTCTCCCATGTATTTGTTGTTTGTCTCTTTGTATGTATCTTTAATGATTGGAATTATATTTTACTTTCTATATGATTGTGATTTGGTGTTTCTCATTTTACTTATATGGTTGTACATTGAGGCTTGTTGATTTTCCTTTGTGGTGGTGTCGTGTTGCTTCTCATTTTACATATGTTATTGTGTCTTGGGGCTTCTCAATTTTTCTCTATGATGTGAGTGTGGTTATGATTTTTGTTGTGACTACATATGAAATGAGTGGTATGTATGTATATGCATATCTTCCTTATAAGTTTTGTGTAACACCCAAAGATGGAGTGATACTCTTTATTGTATTGCATTTACATAAAAAATATGAATTTAATATCCCTAGTAAATAACATCTCTATGGTTCTTTTAGTAGTCATCTAAAGAAATTGTATATATTCATATTTGTTGGTACTTGTCTTAATTGTTTAAGATGCTACATAATTGTTGGTAATGAAGATGAAAGTTTTTTGTGGTTTGATGGTATCCATTGTCTGTTGGTTGTGGGTGTAGACATGGTTTGATTGTCACTGTTGGTTGTTGGTTGTGGGTGTGGGTATACTTTTGCAATGTTGGTTGCTGGTAGGGGTTGGCTATGGTTTTGGCTATGATTTTGCATTGATGGTTTTAGTTGGTATTGGATGTAGTTTTGGTTGTGATTTTACATTGATAGTTGTTGGATGTGGGTGTAATTTGGTTGACGTTTTGCATACAAACAAGTGAATTATTATGCATTCCTATATGTAATGTAGGTTTTAATAACTTTGATTTTTATAATGTTATATAGAGTTATCATGGAAAAAAAGAACAAGTAGCTCATTGATCGTCAATCGTAACTTATATAACTGTCCCCACTTGTTTTTCACAAATGATACATAGTTTTAAAGCACACATCATACTATTAATCATATATACTACTTGGTTTTAAAGAACATATCAAACTGTTAATTATGGATACTACCTAATCATAGATCATGCCTGACATTGTTAAACATAATACTATGTGGTTTTAGACCACACATGCATTGGTAACAACAAAGACTACCTATTATTACCGCACATGACATTGTTAACCACAGATATTATCTGCTCTTAGAGGATGCATGGCATTATTAACCATAGATCTACATGTTTTTAAAGCACACATTACACTGTTAACCATAGATATTGCATGTTCTTACCATATATGATAATATTAATTATAGATACGACATGGTATTAGAGCACACATGACACAGGTAACTATAAATAGTACCTAGTCCTACCACACATGACACGGTTAACCACAAATACTACATGGTCTTAAAGCACACATGACACTATTAATCATATATATTACCTAGTCTTAAAGCACAAAATACATTGTTAACCACAGATACTACTTATTCTTATCACACATGACACTAGCAACCACAAATACTACATAACATGCATGTTTTTATTAACCACGTATATTATCTGTTCATATCACATATAATAGTGATAATTACATAAACTATCTGGTCATAGAACACACATGAGAATGTTAACCATAAATACTACATGGTCTTAAAGCACACATCACATTGTTAGCAAGATAAATTGTCTAGTCTTAAAGCTTATATGGTATAGTTGGTGATACTAGATGGAACAATCTTTGCTCAATTTTTTTCACTAAGCTCTAATTCTATCTCTTGTCTTTTTTAATATTTTGTTATAACTTCTATCATTTCCTTTTTATTTGTAATTTAACTTATATTATTTCCTAAAAATTTTTATCTACAAGAGATATCAGATGGGAAAAAAAGAAGGTGGTATATCGGTCATTTGGGAGAGGGAGGTCAAGATCATATTCTGTGATTTATGCTTGAAAGAGAAAGAAATTGACAATAGGCCAACCAAACACTTCAATAAAGAAGATTGGCAAAACATAACAAAAAAATTTTCATGAAAGAACATGATGATTGAATAATAAAACTCAATTGAGGAACAAATGAGTAAATTAAAAGTAGATAAGAATTGCGGAATGATTTAATGAGGGGCAACTAGATTAGTTGGACTCTGTTAAGAAAATAATGGATGCATCAGAGTGGTGAAGAGAAAAAATTTTAGTAAGTAGAAGATGTTATATTAATTCTTTGTATTCTCATATTTATCGAACTTCAACTTTATTAATTATTTTTCCAGCCGAATGCCAAAAAATTTACAATTTCTTACATAGACCATGTGCTAGAAGAGAAAGTTGAGTCTATATTTCTCGGTGTTGTGGCTATGGGCTCCAATATCTAGGCAACAACACAAGACTTCTCCCATAATTTGGATGAGTCCAAATATGCTCATTCAAATGAAGTCAAAAAGAAAGCAGCAAAGGAGAGAGAATAAGGTGAATCAAGTCATTTCAAGTGTTTTGCATCCTCCAAAGTTTTTTAGACAATTAGTAGTTAGTGTTTTTTTTTTATTTCTTTTATGCAGTAATAATATAAACTTGTATGCTAAACAATATCATGTGATATGTGATGCACCAAAACTTATTGCAAAATAAGTTAGTTGAACAACACAAGTATACATGTCAAGTAATAATGTGGTTAAAGAGTACCGCGTATCAATCCCATGAGGAATGTGTTGAGAATTATTCTGGAGGGTGAATCTCTAGTTTACTAAAATTCTAGATCTAGTTTAGCACGATAACAAACAAGAGATGGTTTCATAAAATCCTACTTTAAAATAAAAATAAAAGATAATGTGTTCGGAAAAGACAGAAAATAGTGGCAGAGAAATCTTATGTGTTTTCAAGTTATGTGAGGTTTGCGCCCCTCTGAGTTAGGTAATATGGTGATTCGTGATTTTCCTATACTTTTCCCAACATCATTGTAATAAAAAAGGATAGAAAGTCCTCCTTCTATTTATATCTAGGTCAAAAGAAGACCAGAATCTATAAAATTTAGGCTTCCTCAATCCCCTTGTCATCCCCCAGATTTGTTACGATACCCTTTCTAGATTGTTAAACCTGAAACAAATATATTTATTGTTACACAAATTTTGTGGTTAACCATTTCATTACTCTGTGTAATTGGTAGGAGTAACAAATCACGAAATATGTTAACATCCAAATTGATCAGATCAAGAGTAAATGAGACCCTATGGTTAACACAACAACAAAAAAGCCCTGGTGTCTCAAGAAAATGATACAGAGAAATAAATCGTCTTAGAAAACTATGAAACAACATCCCAAAAATCACAGAAGTGCAAAAGAAAGCTTAGCTACACATGATAGAAAGAACATAATAAAAGCATCCCGTCAAAATTATCATTGTAAGTAAATCTGAAAACTAAACACTTATAAAATGATATGTTCCCTCTTCTATGTAGTCAACTTCTCTCTCATACAATAACCTCTCAAAATTATATAAGAGCAATACAAAGAAAAGTTAAAAGAAACCCTTAGGGCCTCAGCCTCAAGAGAGGATGAGGAAACATAAAAAAACTCTCAAAAACTTCTTCTCTAGCTATATCCCTTTTAAAGATCCAAAATAATTTTGCATGAAAAAACCTTCTAAAATGAGATATGGCGGTCTATCAGCATGACTTTGCTAAAAACAGCATGGTCACGCCTGAAGCTAGCATGGCCACATTCAGATTTGGCGTGGTTATGCCAAACAACACATTTTTGCACATTTCGACTCTACTTTATGTGTTCGACACCTATAACCTGCAAAATAACACAATGAACCTTTTAGAAGGATAAAATCATGATATATAAGGTGAAATAAAAGAAAAAATAAAGTAATAAAAGTGGGTAAATTTTCATAAAATTTGTGCATGTCAATGTGTTGATATGACAATTCAATAATATGGTGATTCGTGATTTTCCTGGACTTTTCCAAACATGATTGTTGTCAATAGGGATATAAAGTCCTTCTATTTATATCAAGGTCAAAAGAAGACCAAAATCCATAAAGTTTAGGCTTCCTCAATCCCCATGTTATCCCGCAGATTTGTTATGATGCCCTTTCTAAGTTGTAAAACCCAAATCAAATAAATTTATTGTTACACAGATTTTGTAGTTAACCATTTCAATCCTTTGCGTAGTGGGTAGGAGTCAAAAATAATGAAATATGTTAATATCTAAATTGATCAGACATGAGTAAATGAGGCTCTATGGTTAACACAACAACGAAAAAGCCTTATGTCTCAAGAAAATGATACAGAGAAAGAAATCAACTTAGGAAACTATGAAACCACATCTCATACATCACAGAAGTGCAAAAAAAAAGTTTAGCTACACATGATAGAAAGAACACTATAAAAGCATCCCCACAAAACTATTGTTGTAAGTAAAACTGAAAACTAAACACTTATTAAATGATTTGTTCCCTCTTCCGCACAACCAACTCCTCTCTCATATAATAACCTCTCAAAATATATAAGAGCAACACAAAGAAAAAGGTAGAAGATACCCTTAGGGCCTTAGCCTCAAGAGAGGATGAGAAAACCTAAGAAAACTCTAAAAAACCTCTTCTCCAGCTATTTCTAACTCTCCTTTCTACCAAAAAATTCTTCTGTTCATGCCCTAGCTT